TAAATTGCCTTGAATGTGTTGAGGAATGTTCTTTCTATACCTAATTTGTTTAGAGTTTTTATCATGAAAGGGTGTTGTATTTTATCAAATGCTTTCTCTGCATCTATTGAGATAATCATATGATTTTTGTTCTACAATTTGTTAATGTGATGTATCACATTGATTGACTTGCAAATGTTGAACCATCTCTGCATACCAGGGATAAATCCCACTTGGTCTGGGTGAATGATTTTTTTTGATGTTATTGGATTCGACTGGCTAGTATTTTGTTGAGGATTTTTGCGTCTATGTTCATCAGGGAAATTGGTCTGTAGTTCTCTTTGTCTGTTGTATCTTTTTCAGGTTTAGGAATTAAGGTGATGCTGGCTTCACAGAAGTGTGTTTGGGAGGATTCCCTCCCTATCAATTGTTTCGAAAAGTTTGAGAAAAATTGGAGTTAGTTCTTCTTTAAATGTCTGGAAGAATTCAGTAGTTGTCGCTCCCCCTCTTCGTGGAGGAACGACACAAAGCCTTGCGCTGTTCTTTCGTCTGCTCGGCCCTCCCCGGGTTTGCTGCTGGTTCTTCCCGGGTTGGCTACTATCCCTTCCACCTCCGTGGAAGGGCAGTTCCCCCTGGCCACATTCCCCACTTCCGCAGGGGAGCGGCACACCGCCGGCCAGTTCTCTCGGGGGCTGCACGGGTTCCCTTAGATGTTCCCCATAGGTGTTCCCCATAGATGTTCCTGGTGCATGCCGTCTCTCTCCTCCTTTATAGTCCTCCTCCGCCAATCCCAACTCGGCTGCCCACACGCCGAGTACGCTGCTCTCCTCCAATCAGGAGCAAGTCCTACAGTTTATTAGTTGAACTGGAGGCAGCTGTGCGGAAGCTGTTTACTTCTCTCCCAGCGCCATATTGTGGGAGAGCAGATGCATAGAATAAGTCTTAATTCGAGTAACTTAGTCTAGTCCGGATTGCTCCCCACAAGTAGTGAGCCATCTGGTCCTGGGCTTTTCTTTGTTGGGAGGGTCTTTACTACAGATTCAATTTATGTCTTGGTTATTGGTCTGTTTAGGTTTTCTATGTATTCATGGCTCAATTTATGATTGTATGTGTCCACCAGGAATCTGTCCATTTCTTCTAGGTTTCCTGGTTTGTTGGCGTACAACTCTTTGTAGTAATTTCTGATGATTCTTTTTATTTCTGTAGTGTCTATTGTTACATCTCCTTTTTCATCTAATTTTATTGATTTGGGTCTTCTCTCTTTTTTTTTTTTTTTTTTTTTTTTTTGGTTAGTTGGGCCAATGGTGTGTCATATTATTTTTTCAAAAAAACCAACTCTGTTTTGCTGATCTTCAGTTAGTTTTTTTTTGTTTCAATTTTGTTTATTTCTTTTCTAATTTTAATTATTTCTTTTATCCTACTAGTTTTGGGTTTGGTTTGCTGTTGCTTTTCTAGGTCCTTGAGATGCACTAATAGATCATTTATTTGGTGCCTTTCCAATTTCTTGATGGTAGATACCAGTTGCTATAGGCTTTCCTCAACACTGCTTTTGCTATATCCTGTTAAGTTTTTAAATGTATTGTCATCTTCATTCATTTCCAGAAATTTTTTGATTTCTCTTTTGATTTCTTCTATGACCCATTGCTCATTCATGAGTATGTTGTTTGCGTATGTGCTAGAAGATTCCTGAGTTGTTGATTTACAACTTAATTCCATTGTGGTCAGAGAAGATGCTTGGTATGATTTCAATGTTTTGGAATTTCCTGAGATTTGTTTTATGGTCTAGCATGTAGCCAACCCTAGAGAAAGTTCTGTATTCTGTGACTATAGGCTGGAAAGCTCTGTAGATACGTTAGGTCCATTTGGTCCATAGTGTTGACTAATTTTGTTGTTTGCTTGTTGATTTTATGTCTAGTTGACCTGTCCATTGCTAAAAGTAGGGTATTAAAGTCCCACATTACTATTGTATTGGAGTCTGTGTCTCCCTTTAGATCCATTAACATTTTTTAAAATAGCCCAGTGCCTTATAATTAGAGGCGTATACATTTGTAATAGTCACAGCTTCCTGTTGACTTGATCCCTTAATCATTACATAGTGCCCTTCTTTGTCTCTTTTAACAGTTTTTGTGTTAAACTCTATTTTGTCTGATATTAGCATGGCTACACCAGCTCTTTTTTGGTTTTTATTGGCATGGAATATATTTTTCCATTCTTTCTCTTTCAGTCTGTGTGCATCTTTGTTGGTGAGTTGTGTTTCTTGTAGGCAGCAAATAGATGGGTTTTGTTTTTTAATCCATTCAGCCAGTCTGTGTCTTTTAACTGGAGAGTTGAGGCCATTTACATTCAAGGTGACTATTGATAAGTAACGACTTATCAATAAAATGGCCCTGCCATTATTCCATAAATATTCCTATCTTTACTTTGGATTTCTTTTGTACTTTTACTGGGAAATTTTCTGCCTTCACATTCTTTCATAGTGATGACCATGTTTCTGTGTTTCTGTGTGTAGTATACCCTTAAGCATCTTTTGTAAGGCTAGATGGGTGGTGACAAATTATTTCAATTTGTTATGGAAACAAAACTAAAGCATTACAACTTGGGGCTGGTGCTGTGGCGTAGCGGGTAAAGTTGCCACCTATGATGCCTGCATCCCAAATGGGCATCAGTTCGAGTCCCAGCTGCTCCACTTCCAATCTAGCTCCCTGCTAACGTGCCTGGGAAAGCATTGGAAGATGGCCCAAGTGCTTGGGCCCCTGCACCCATGTGGGTGACCCGGAAGAAGCTCCTGGCTCCTGGCTTCAGATCAGTTCAGCTCCAGCCACTGTGGCCATTTAGAGAGTGAACCAGCAGACAGAAGATTTCTCTTTCTCTGTCTCTCCCTATAACTCTGCCTTCCAAATAAAATAAATATTTAAAAACAAAATAAATTTTTGAGTCTGCTTCTTTATCTTATGCCACCTCATTCCTCTTTCGGATTCACCTGACACCTTGTCATGCTGGATGCAACAAAGGGTAATTTGGTAACATCAAAAATTTCAATGAATTCCTTTTGAATTATGGGTTTTTTTTTTTTTTTTTTTGGACAGGCAGAGTGGACAGTGAGAGAGAGAGACAGAGAGAAAGGTCTTCCTTTGACATTGGTTCACCCTCCAATGGCTGCCGTGGCTGGTGCACTGCGGCCGGCGCACCGCGCTGATCCGATGGCAGGAGCCAGGAGCCAGGTGCTTTTCCTGGTCTCCCATGGGGCGCAGGGCCCAAGCACCTGGGCCATCCTCCACTGCACTCCCTGGCCACAGCAGAGAGCTGGCCTGGAAGAGGGGCAGCCGGCACAGAATCCAGCGCTCCAGCCGGGACTAGAACCTGGTGTGCCGGCGCCGCTAGGCAGAGGATTAGCCTAGTGAGCCGCAGCGCCGGCCTGAATTATGTTTTTAATAAATTATTCATCTATTTTTTTTAAAGATTTATTTATTTATTTGAAAGTCAGAGCTACACAGAGAGAGGTAGAGAGAGAGAGAGAGAGAGAGAGAGAGAGAGAGAGAGAGGTCCTCCATCCAATGGTTCACTCCCCAATTGGCTGCAACGGCCGGAGCTGTGCTGATCCGAAGCCAGGAGCTTCCTCTGGGTCTCCCACATGGGTGCAGGGGCCCAAGGACTTGGGCCATCTTGTGCTGCTTTCCAAGGCCACATCCAGAGAGCTGGATGGGAAGTGGAGCAGACAGGTTCGAACCGGTGCCCATATGGGATGCCGGCGCTTCAGGCCAGGGCGTTAACCCACTGTGCCACAGTGCCGGCCCCTCTAATTTCTTTTTTTAAAAAGTTTTTTTTTTTTCTTATTTATTTGAGAGGTAGATTTATAGACAGAGAGAGGGAGAAACAGAGAAAAAGGTCTTCCATCCACTGGTTCACTCCCCAAATGGCCGTAACAGCCAGAGGTGGGCAGATCTGAAAGCCAGGAGCCAGGAGCTTCTTCTTCCAGGTTTCCCACGTGGGTGCAGGGGCCCAAGGACTTGGGTCATCTTCTACTGCTTTCCCAGGCCACAGCTGAGAGCTGGATTGGAAGAGGAGCAGCCAGGACTCAAATTGGCGCCCATGTAGGATGTCGGCACTGTAGCTAAAGGCTTAGCCCACTACACCACAGTGAGAGCTCCTGAATTCTGCCTTTAAAAACACCACTATGATTGCCCTATGGACATGGTTCTACACTGATTCTTTCCTTTTTAAAATGAGGGTTTATTTTATTTTATTTGAAAGGCAGATTGACAGAGAAAGAGGGAGAGACAAAGACATCTTCCATCTGGTAGTGCACTTCCCAAATGGTTGCAACGGCCAGAGTTGGGACAGGCAGAAGCCAGGAACTCCATCCAGGGTCTCCCACATGGGTGGCAGGGGTCCAATCTTTTGGGCTATCTTCTGTTGCTTCCCCAGGCACACGAGCAGGGAGTGCGATCAGAAGCAGAGCAGCCGGGACTCCCTGGTGCTCCCATATGTGATGCTAGGGTTGCAGGCTGTGACTTAACACACTATACCCGATGCTGGCCCTCTGCATCTGATTGCTTGTGCTCGTGTCAGGAACGGTAGCTAGCTCTCATTATTCAAAGCTGGAGAATTTTCTATTATATAGATACACCATATTTGTACTTGACTAATCTCTTCTTGAAATTACCATCAATAATTGTTCTCAGTATACACAGAAAACTACCTGGAAAGCTACTAATACTTAACAGTGATGATTTCTAGAGAGAATGGTGGGTTGGGTCACAGGGAGAGGAAATGCCACTTCATTACTCTTTGGTTGTATAAAAAACAATGCACATATATTACTTTACAAATAGTATTTAATGAAAAAAGTCAGTAGCCATATACTTTATAAATGCAGAGTAGAAAAGCTAAAGGATTTTCTTCCCTGGGAAGAATCATGGAAGTACAAGAATGTGGCATAAACATTTCTGAGACAAAAACGGAACTCGAGAGAGTAAGAGCTGCCGCAGAGCACAGCGCCAGCAGCGCCGCCAGGTACTCACCAATCGACTGCCTGAGCTCGCTGCACTGGCTCACAGCCGGCAGCTTCAGGATCTCCTTCCATTTTTTACTGCGACCGCTTTTTTTGCCATATCCTCCTACATTTGAGGCAGAAAAGGCGGTTTTTAGATGGTCAGAAATATCCAATTATAACAAAGACTTTCAGTGAGGCACCTTACTATTTCTGTTGGATAGGTAGAAACACAAGCTATAACGATCTGTCCTAACCGGAAGGCAGCTGGGGGAGGGGCACCACCCCCAAATACCGCACCCAGTCCCCAACACTGTCATGTAGAAATCTTCTGACCCTGAATTCTGCATGCAGCTCTGCTGCACCTCAGCTTCCAAGTTTGTAAACCGGACTCAGCATGACATATTGTCCAGGGCTGCTTACAGGGGTGGAAAGTCTGGGTCTCAAGCCTACCGCACCCCACGCTCAACTCGTTCCACTCAGACTCCTTGTTTCCCCTTTAAAAACCTGCCCTTGCTTTCTTCAAGATTCATTCATGGAATAGACGTGTAAGCAGAAGCCCGCCCACGCCAGAGCACATGCTAGGTGCTGCTTCACTGACAGCCGCGGCCCACGTCACGCAAGGGCTGAGGAAGCGGTGCCTGCCCTCCTGCCCCTCTGCCGGGACCCCCAAACTCAGTGCAGCAGAGACCGAACAGGCCTCACTGCTTGTCAGGCACACACACACACACACACACACACACCCCGACACACACCGGCTGCGGCTGGTTCCCCTCCAGCTGAGAACGGCCTGCTCTTTGGGATAGGACTTCTCATCCGGCCCTTCCGGGAGCAGAAGGGACGGGCCGTCGCCGCGCCGCGCGCAGACCCACGGCGCACCGCAAAGCCTCAGCCCGCGCTGCGCGCCGCAGCTCCACCGGGAACCGGGCGCGGACCGAGCAGAGCACAGCCGGGGCCGGCGGCGCGGGACGCGCTGGAGCAGGCCCGCCGCGGCCGAGGGCTCCTCCAGCCAGGCCCCGGTCCCCGAGGAGACCCGCGTTCTCCCGGCTGCGGGGCGCCCGCACACACCTAGGCGCGCTCTCAGCAGCAACGTGTTGGCCGTGATGTTCTCGACCTCCATGGTTCGCCGCCGCGGCCGCGGCCGCGAAAACCGGCGCTTTCGAGGAGCAGGAGCAGGAGGAGGCGCCGCGGCTTCCACGCATCCCTCGCACGGCTCCACCCGCTCCGGGGGCCGCGGCGCGCTGCCTCGCCGGGGCCGCCGCCGCCGCCGCCGCCGCCGCCCCCTCTGGCGTCGCCACCACAGCCACCACGGGCGCCGCCGCCGGCGTCGGCGGGAGCGCGGCGGTCGGCGCGGGGCGGCCTCGCGGTCGCGGCGAGCGGAGCCGGCAGCCGGGCCGCTGAGGAGCTGCCCGGTCACTGTCGCCGCGCCCGGGCTCGGGCTCCTCGTGGCCGCATCGCCCCGGCCGAGCGCCAACAACGCTCTCCTCAGGGTCCAGCCCTGGAGCAGCTTCGAGTCTCCGCCCAGCCCCACCCGCGCCGGGGCTCACAGGCAGGGGCGCCAGCCCCGGCGGCGACGGCTCCCGCCGCCGCCGCCGCCAGCTACGCGCACACCGGCCGGCTGCCCGCCAACGGCTTCCCAGAGCGGGGAGGTGACTGCGGCGCCTCGCCGCGGACTACAACTCCCAGCAGGCCTCGCGCTGAAGGCCGCGGCGGCGCGCGGGCTGCTGGGAGTTGTAGTCGCCCAGCGTGCTCGCGTGGGAGCCGAGCGGGATCTCGTTGGTGACTTCCGGGAAGTGTCTGCCTCTCCCCGTTTCCGGGTGCCGGCGCGTGCTTCCGCAGGCGCGTTGCGCCGCCGGTCGTTTTTGGTTTTTGTGTGTGTGTTTTTTTTGTTTTTCCTTTCTCGGGGTCTCCGGGGCCTGTAGGAGGTGCGACAGCGAGCGCGCCATGGGCAAGGCCAAGTCCGCCGGCGCGCGCGCCAAGGCCCCCGCGGCGAAGGCCAGGCCCAACCCGTTCGAGGTGAAAGTCAACAGGCAGAAGTTCCAGGTGCTGGGCCGGCGGACGCGCCACGACGTGGGGATGCCCGGGGTGTCGCGCGCGCGCGCCCTGCAGAAGGTGAGCGCGGGGGGCGCCGGGCTGGGGCGGCCGCGAGGCGGGGTCCGCGCGGGGGCGTGGGCGTGGAAGGCCCGCACGGGGGGCTCCGGAGCTGGGGAGGCCGCTTCCCGGGGCCGGCGCGGGGGGCGTGGGCGTGGGCGGGGGGCTCCGGAGCTGGGCGGTCGCGTCCCGGGGCCGGGGGCGTGGGCGGCCCGCGCGGGGGGCGCCGGAGCTGGGGAGGCGGGGAGGCCGCTTCCCGGGGCCGCGGGCGTGGGCGTGGGCGGGGGGCGCCGGAGCTGGGGAGGCGGGGAGGCAGCTTCCCGGGGCTGGCGCGGGGGGCGTGGGCGGCCCGCGCGGGGGGCGCTGGCGCTGGGTGGCCAGGAGGCCGCTTCCCGGGGGCCGGCGCGGGGGCGTGGGCGGGGGGCTCCGGAGCTGGGTGGCCGCGAGGCGGGTGGCCGCGTCCCGGGGCCGGCGCGGGGCTGCTGGCGGCGCCCGCGGTGAGCGAGCGGAGTCGCTGCGAAGTCGCTCTGTGCGTGTCGCGGTGCGGCGGAGCCTGCCTCCGGGCCCGGCGGGATTAGCAGCGGGCTGGCCCGAGGGCAGGCGGCCGGTGGTCGTCCTTGCGAACCGCTGGCAGGTCCGTCGACTACGTGAGGGGGCTTCCGGAGGTTCGCGGATGCGGCGTGTTAGGAAGAAACCGCGCGAGAATTTAAAATGCTTTTGCGCCAAATTAGACTTAACTTCTAATTCCATCTTTCCACCGACTTTTGCAGTAACCTTACGACTTGAGCACTGCTGGTTGCTAGGTTATCCCACGGCGTCGTCTTCCTGCCCTGTTCTCTAAGTTATAATAGGCATTGTGACATCACACTGGGTTTATATATTACAGCTTACGCTCTCTTGTTTAAGATTTTGTTTATTTGAAAGATTTACGCAGAGGGAGAGAGATCTTCTGGCTGCAACAGCTGGGGCTGGCCAGGCTGAAGCCAGGAGCTTCTCCTGGGTCTCCCACGGGGTGCAGGGGCCCAAATGTTTGGCCCATCTTCTGCTGCCTTCCCAGGCCATTAGCAGGGAGTAGATCAGAAGTGGAGCAGCCGGGACTCGAACCGGCGCCCATCTGGGATGCCGGCACTGCAGGCGGCGCGTTGCACTACACCACCGCACAAGCCTGTGACAGAGATGGCTGGTGCCTGCTCCTCCTCCCTCCTCCCTGCCAATGTCACTGTCAGTCCTGACCCCTCCTCTTACAGGTACAGGCTCCAGAGGTCTCTGGGTAGCCTCAGAACAGTGTCAGCTGACACACAGCGATGGCAAGGCCGTAGTCAAGCCGCAGAAAGCAGATGGGTCACGGCTCTCGCTGCAGATCTGGGTTAGAATCCGCCTGCCCTCCTGGTTTTGGACTGTGTGTGTCTGTTGCATTTAGGTTCTCGCATCTGATTACTACAGCAAACCCTGTGGTTTATTTAAATAGTGTATCTCAAGTTCTGTTAAGTTTTAGAAAGTTATTTGAGAAGCAGAGACCGGGCGCTCCCACACACTGGTTCACTGCCTAAAATGCTGCACTGGCCTGGGAGCAGGTGTCCAGTGTGGATGGCAGGAACCCTATTACTGGAGCCCTCACTGTGCCTCCTAAGGCCTGCGGTAGCAGGAGGCCGGGGCCAGATGCTGGGCTAATATGGAATGTGGGCATCCCAGCTGCCAGTCCACAGGTCTGCCCCATTATAAGTTCTGTTCTGCAACTGCGGGAGCAGCAGGGTTTCGTAGAGCTTACCCTGGACTCGAACGTTACCTGGCGTCCAGCAGCCTCCCTTCCCCGTCCGGTCCTAGAGCTGGACGTCAGAGCGAGGGGCAGAAGTAGAACGGGGACAGGAGCAGCTGTGCTGGAGCCGCTGGTTCGCGTGCGGTGTCGGCTGTCCCTGGGCTCTGTCTAGCAGCAGCGAGGAGGTAGACCAGGGCACAGCGAGGAGGTAGACCAGGGCACAGCGAGGAGGAGGACGGGGAGGAGTGCCCGCTCAGCAGGTGTTCATTGAGCTGACTGCCGGGCGGCAGCGGGTCCTCACTACATTCTAAGTGAAACACGTTCGTGTTTTGGAATGAGAAGAAAGATGCGTTGCCAGCATTAGTCTCCCCGGCATTGCTAAGTTCAGTTCTCACACGGCTTTCCAAGTGGCTTCTCACAAATGCGAGGAATCCCTGAAGCAGGCAAGAAGCGCTCGGATCTGACTGGGTCCGGGTTTCCCGCGCCGGCCGGGACGCACCCCTCCCCGGTGACTCCCGTCCTGGTCACTGCTGCTGCATCAGACCCCGCTCGGCGGCAGTCCCTGCGGAGACAGGGGTTTCTGTCAGGGGTAAAAGTCCGTAGCCAGCCGCCTCGGGACCGTGGCCGCAGCCCCCCACGCGCATCCGCCAGGGGATTCAGCCTCGAGGTCAGGCACCGCCGAGTGATGCGGGAAACAGCGGTGCCTGGAGGTGTGCTCTCAGTCGTTGAACTGCGTCCTTGAAGTGTCGCTCCTTTGGTGTCCTCCAGTGCGAAGTCAAGTTGGGAGCCCACCTGGTCACCTTGTCTGTGACCTCAAGCCTGCAGGAAGGCACAGCTCTGCGCTGTGAGAGACGCCCTCCGGAGTGGAAAGGACCCAGACTTTCCCTCTTGCGGGAGTAAACGCGAGGCCCGGTGCTGCGCCGCAGCTGGGAGAGCAGCTCTGTCCTCGGGCGGCGTGCGTCCCCTCCCTCTCACAGCGCAGACTCACTCCAGAGAGGAGGACGAAGTCGCCGCTCCGCGAACGGTGGCTTTCTCTTCTCAGGAGGGAAGGCCTGTCACCCACGAGAGCGGCTGGTGGGTGAGCTCAGCCCCCGGCACGTGGGTGTCACAGGAAGTGGTTGTGATACTGTCTGGCGGTCTTGTTTTCCAGCGTACCCAGACTTTACTGAAGGAGTACAAGGAAAGGAACAAGTCCAATGTGTTCGCAGACAGGCGCTTTGGGGAGTACGATGGCAGCATGAGCCCCGAGGAGAAGATGATGCAGCGGTTTGCTCTGGAGCAGCAGGTACGGGGGCCGCATCCCTGCGCCTCGCCTCGCCTCGCCTCTGCGGTCCAGCTCTGAGCGCCTGAGCTGGCGGGCTGGGCCCGAGAGGAAGCAGCCTTCGCGGAGGTCGCTTGGCTGGCTCCGGCTCTCTAGGGGAGAGGCGGTGGTTGTATTAGAGTCTCAACCACGTTTGGTTTCGAGTCTGATGGTTGCAGAGTGAGTAGGTGGAGGGACAAGCTGGCGAGGAAGGCTCGTCCACAGCAGGTTGCTCTGGCCCGCTGGTCTGTGTAAGAATTGTGTGTGTTACCTGAATCATCACTGAAATAACTCAGGGTAACAGGAAGGCTGCACTGTCACGTTTCACATGTAATGGGAAGATAAGCTTGTTTGTGCTATGGAATGAGCATGGTGCTGCTAGGAAGCTGATTTTGTTCCCCTCTTCTGTCAGAAACATCATGAGAAAAAAAGCGTCTACAACCTGAACGAAGATGAAGAGCTAACCCATTACGGCCAGTCTTTGGCAGACATCGAAAAGCACCATGACGTGGTGGACAGTGACAGTGATGCTGAGGACCGAGGGACGTTGTCTGGTAAGGCCGGGGGTGCCCCCCACAAGCCTGAGGGTGTGTACAGAGCCAGGGACCGTCTGTTCCCCGTGGGGCTGTGTCCTGCTCTTGGAGGCCTAGAGAAGCATGAGAGTTTGATGGTGAACCTTCCAGTGGATTCCACATGTGACAGTTTTATTTCTTAAATTTTGAAACTTGAAGACAGTTTGTATAGATAGATAGGTGTTTCATTATCCTACTTGAACCTCACAGCCCATTTTGCCCAGGAGCTCAGAGATAAAATGTCCTGTGCCCAAGGGTGTAAGCTGTGGCCTGGGGGCACCGACCCTGGGGACAGCTGTCTTCCCCATTTTATGCATTCTGACCTAATATTTCCACCACCAGAACTTAGGTGGTTCTTTCAGTCTTTACTTACCATGGGACTAATTAATGGCAGTTTTTTTTTTTTTTTTTTTTTTTTTTTTAAGATTTATGTATTTATTTATTTGAGAAGCAGAGGGAGAGAGAAAGAGAAGTGTTCCATCTGCTGGTTCACTCCCCAGGTGGCTACAACGGCCAGAGCTGCACCAATCAGGAGCCAGGAGCTTCCTCCGGGTCTCCCATGTGGGTGCAGGGGCCCAAGGACTTGGTTCATTTTCTGCTTTCCCAGGCCAAAGCAAAGAGCTGGATTGGAAGTTGACCAGTCGGGACCTGAACCAGTGCCCACGTGGAATGCTGGCACTGCAGGCAGCAGTTTTATCAGCTATGCCACAGCGCCGGCCCCAAATTATGGCAGTTTTGAGAGGGAAATAATATTGAGCCACAAATCTGTAGACAACATGGGACCAATTAAATTGTGGGGCCTTAATTTATATTAATATACAACTAAACTGAATTAGGACTCAGTTTTGTTTTTAAAGATTTACTTATGTATTTGAAAGTCAGAGTTACACAGAGAACGAGAGAGAGAGAGAGAGAATAGGTCTTCCATCCACTGGTTCACTCCCCAGTTGGCTGCAACGGCTGGAGCCGGGCCAGGCGGAAGTCAGCAGCCAACAGCTTCTTCCGGTCTCCCACGTGAGTGCAGGGTTCCAAGAACTTGGGCCATCTTCTGCTGCTTTCTCAGGCCATAGCAGAGAGCTGGATCGGAAGTGGAGCAGCCGGGACTCAAACCTGCACCAATATGGATGCCGGTGCTGCAGGTGGCAGCTTTATCCTCTACACCACAGTGCCAGCCCCAGGAGAGATTAATCTTTCATCTGCTGGTTCACTCCCCAGATGGCCGAAACAGCCAGAGCTGGGCCAGGCTGGAGCCAGGAGCTTCCTCCAGGTCTCCCACATGGTGGCAAGGGCCCAAACAGCTGGGACTCAAACTGGTGCCCGCGTGACCGAGAAGGTGGTGGTGTGCCGAGACTCGAGGACTGCGTAGGGGAAGGTGTCCCCACAAAGCGGAATGGGGAGCCTTTTTTCTGCCAAGGGCCATTTGGATGTTTATAGTAGCATCACTCACAGGCCGTCCGAAGTTAACTCCCAACTCAAAATCCGTCTACCTGTGGGTGCCATGACAGGAGCAGGACGTTCCCCACCCCTGCCGGAGGTGGGGCCAGCAAGGAGGTTTTGCCTGGGGGACAGGGAGATGGTGACAGACGAACGGGGTCTCCTGGGCCACAGGAAGAGGTCGGCTTTGAGTCAGGAAGTGGCACCATGGCGTTAGGATGAGCGGGCTTCCTCCTGAGTGGATGTAAGTGCAGGAGGAGGAAGCGAGGTGGCTCTAGAGTCTCGGCCTGAGCCCCCGGGAAGCTACAGGTGCCATTCACGGCCGTCCGCAGCAGGGGGGAGGTGAGGTGCTCGTGAGGTCCAGGGGGCACTGGAGTCCAGAGTCCAGGGGACCGAACAAGGCCACCAGGGGAAGAGGCGGCAGTGGAGCTGGGGGAGGGGCTCCCAGCTGCCAGTGAGGCCCTGGGTGGGTGTTGGCCAGGAGCCAAGTGGAGGTCTTTGCTAGGAGGCAGTGATAGGAGATGCAGAGGAAGTCAGGAAACTGACCTGTGAATCAGGCGAGAGTCCAGCTCAGAGGAGAGGCTCAGCCAGCCCGGAGGAGTGAGGAGACAGGAGAAGGCAGGCTGTGGAAAAGAAGAGTACAGGGGCTAGCGCCTGCAGCGCCAGCATCCCATATGGGCGCCAGTTCTAGTCCTGGCTGCTCCTCTTCTGATCAGCTCTCTGCTGTGGCCTGGGAAAGCAGTAGACGGTGGCCCAAGTCCTTGGGCCCTGCACCTACGTGGGAGACCCGGAGGCAGCTCCTGGCTCCTGGCTTCAGATCAGTGCAGCTCTGGCTGTTGCTGCCATCTAGAGAGTGAACAAGTGGATGGAAGACCTCTCTCTGTTTCTCTCCCTCTTTATATAACTCTGTCTTTCAAATAAATAAAAATAAATCTTAAAAAAAAAAAAAAGAAAATGGAGTACAGGAGCATTGGGTAGGGGCTGAGCAGTAGGGAAGGGGCGTAGGGTGGCGGGGAGCTTTTTCTTTAAACCTGAGTGGAGTCCGACAGCGCTGCATAGGATGAGGCGCAGTGATGCGTGGAAGGCTGTGCTCTGCTGAGGTCGTTCCTTGAGTAGGTGAGAAGGGGCGGGATCTCATTGCTTGGTGGCGGGAGTCGGCCCTGGACAGTTCCAGGGCTCAGCTGCTGTGGGACGGGCTGGTGTGAGGGGCGAGGTCACAGCCAGGGAGGGGAGAGAATGGCCTGGTGTCAAGAGCCCATCTGAAGGTGGCAGTTTTGGTTTTGGGTTTTTTTTGTTTTTTTTGTTTTTTTTTTTTTTTTTTTTTTTTTTTAGATTATTTATTTGAAAGAGTTACAGAAAGGGAGAGGCAGAGAGAGGTCTTCCATCCACTGGTTCACTCCCCGGATGGCCAGAGCAGCCAGTGCTGGGTCACGCTGAAGCCAGGAGTCCGGAGCTTCATCCGAGTCTCCCACATGCACTGCTTTCCCAGGCATTGGCAGTGGAGCTGCCGGGACATGAACCGGTGCCCCTGCGGGCTGCCGGCTCTGCAGGTGGCAGCCTCCCTGCTGCGCACAGCGCCGTCCCAGCGCGCAGTCTTGTGTGGTGTTCCTTTCACCACCAGCCTTCGCCTGCACAGGCACTAGCAGGGAGCGGGTGTGGAGCTTGATTTAGCTCCTGCAGGAAGAGGGGTGAGGCTGGGAACTGTTGGGGTGCTCGGCCTGGGCTGGAGGATGACCCGACGTTTTACCTCGTGGGGCTTTGGGTAAATCCCCTACATCTGCGCCTTTGTTTTTCCGTCTGATAACCGGGTTCCTAAGGTGTTTTGTGTGACGACTCCCGTGTCCGAGTTCTCTGCTGGCCGATGGGGCGGGCTGAAGGTGAATGACCCTCTTTAATTCTGCCTGTGCCTTTGAAGCCTCCCAGTGCTGATGGAGGGGTGTGGCGTGGCGGAGCCTCTGCCCTGAGCCGGGCTCTCCTCCCACCAGCACTCTGGTGCCACCTGTGTTCTTGCATGTCCCAGTCTCCTGAGAGTGAACACAGTTTATAGACGAGTTCTCGGTGTTCCCAGTCACTCGAGTTATGGCCGCTTGGTAATGTGGTGGGTCTGGGTTCCCTCCTCTGCATCGTTTTATAGATTCATTTATATATTTATTAGAAAGATGGAGTAACTGGGAGTATCCATCCACTGGTTTATTCTTTCAGTAGCTACAACCGCCAGGGCACAGCTAGGTGGAAGCCGGGGGTCAGGAACTCCATCTGGGTCTCTCATGGGTGGCAGGGACCCAGGCACTTGGGCCCTCATCAGCTGCCTCCTCGGGAGAATTAGCAGGAAGCTGGATCAGAAGTGGAGTAGGGGCGGCGCTGTGGTGTAGCGGGTAAAGCTTCTGCCTGCAATGCTGGCATCCCATATGGGTGCCAGTTCAAGTCCCAGCTGCTCCATTTCCGATCCAGCTCTCTGCTGTGGCCTGGGAAAGCAGTAGAAGATGGCCCAAGTCCTTGGGCCCCTGCACCCACGTGGGAGACCTGGAGGACGCTCCTGGCTCCTGGCTTCCTCTCGGCACAGCTCCGGCCATTGCAACCATCTAGGGAGTGAACCAGCAGATGGAAAACCGACCTCTCTCTCTCTCTGTCTCTGCTTCTGACTGTCTGTAACTCTGCCTTTCAAATGAAATAACTAAATCTTTTTTTAAAAAATAAAGTGGAGTAGCCAGAACTCAATCTAGTACTCTGCTTCAGAACACAGGCGTTACAAATGGCGGCTACACCCACTGTGCCACGCCGGCCTCTTGTATGGGCTTTCCTGGAGCAGGGGCTCGGCTTGCATGTTTCTTCAGTGCCGGTGTGCCTGATGCCTCATGCCGCCTGCTACCTTTGAGTGTAGTTTGTCTCTGAAACTCATGCTGTGATTTGCTTGTCACTGTGGCAATACTGTACTGGGGAGGTGGGGCCTTTAAGAAAGCGTAGCTCAGGGCTGGCCCTGTGGGGCGGCGGGTGAGCTGCCACCTGAGATGCCAGCATCCCACACGGGCACCGGTTCAAGTCCCGGCTGCTCCACTTCTGATCCAGCTCCCTGCTGATGCTCCTGGGAGAGCAGTGGAGGACGGCCCAGGTCCTAGGGCCCTGCGCCCACCGGGAGGACCAGAAGAAGCTCCTGGCTCCTGTCTGTCTGCTGTGGCCATGGAGGCCAGCTGAGGAGTGAACCAGCAGATGGAAGACCTCTTTCTCTCTGTCTCTCCCTCTGTCACTCTGCCTTTCAAGTGAATAAAAAAAAAAGTGTCTTAGCTCGCCGAGAGGGTGCGTGCCTCTCCTGGGTGAGTCACCGCTAGCGCAGCGCTGTGAGGCCGCTGCAGCTCACGGGCTGTGGGGCTGCCACGCGCAGACTTCCCAGCATCCGGTCCGCGAGCCCGAATGCTTTAAAAAAAGTTACCCAGCGTCTGGTGTTCTGTAACAGGTACAGAAAACACCCGTTAACTGTGCTTGAGTTTCTACTTGAATCTGGCATGCTCAGGGCTGCTTTGGAGATGTGCCGGCACAGTACCGCAGCAGGCACTGCCGGGCGGTGGGCGCTGTGCAGCAGGTTGGGTACTGCTAGGGGTACCCACTTCCCGGGTCGGAGTGCCCGCTTCCTGGGTCGGAGTGCCTGCTTCCTGGGTCGGAGTGCCTGCTTCCCGTGCCTGCTTCCCGGGTCGGAGTGCCCGCTTCCTGGGTCGGAGTGCCTGCTTCCTGGGTCAGAGTGCCTGCTTCCCGTGCCTGCGTGCTGTGCGCACAGGAGGCAGCAGGTGTTGACTGAGTACCTAAGTCCGTGCCATGCACGAGGGAGGCCGCCATAGAGTTCCAGGCCTGTCCCTGGCCATGTGGCCATGTGGGGAGCGAGCCAGTGAATGGGAGATTCTCTCTCTCTCTCTCTCTCTCTCTCTCTCTGTGTCTCACACACTTTCTACCTTTCAAACAAATGCTTAAGAGGAAAACGCTTGCCGAGCCGGGGCCTGGCTTCAAGGTGGTGTTTCCTCTGTCTGCAGCTGAGCTGACTGCTGCCCACTTTGGAGGTGGTGGTGGACTGCTTCATAAGAGTGCCTCCCAGCAGGAGGGCAAGGCGGGGGAGCACCCGAAGTCTCGGAGAGAACTGATTGAGGAGCTCATCGCGCAGTCCAAGCAAGAGAAGGTGGGTCAGTCAGTGCTCCTGACGTGGCTGCCCATCGGGGACGCCCTCACCGGAACATGCCCGAGATCTTTCCCCGTGCATTCGTGGCTTGTGTGTGATATTTTGTATGCATTTAAAAGAGCATTCAATTTGAATAAGTTGTGTATGTTTAAAGGTTTGTGTGTTTATTTGAGAGGCAGAGTTACAGACAGAGGTGAAGACGGAGGAAGGTCTCCCATCTTCCAGCAGGCTTGATCCCCAAATGGCGGCAGTGGCTGCAGCTGGGTCGATCTGAAGCCAGGAGGTTCTTTTGGATCTCCCACTCTGGTACAAGAGCTCAAGGACTTGGCCATCTTCCACAGCTTTCCCAGGACATAAGCAGAGAGCTGGATGGGAAGAGGAGCAGCGGGACATGAATGGCACCCATATGGGATGCTGGTGCAGCCCCCAGGCCCATATTTTTTAAAAGATTGATAGATGGGGCCAGTGCTTGGTGTAATACGTAAAGCCGCTGCCTGCAGCGCTGGCACCCCATATGGGTACTGGTCCAAGTCCCAGCTGCTCCATTTCCAGTTCAGCTCCCTGCTGATGCGACTGGGAGTGCAGGGAAGATGGCCCAAGTCCTTGGGCCCCTGCACCCACATGGGAGACCTGGAAGAAGCTCCTGGCTCCTGGCTTCGATCAGTTGAGCTACATCCATTGTGGCCACTTGGGGAGATCTCTTTCTCTGTCACTCTGCCTTTCAAATAAATTTTTTTTTTTAGAAACACACTATTCGAATGTTCTTTATTTCAATAACTGGTTTCTTTTTTTCTTTTTCTTTTTTTTTTTTTTTGGACGGGCAGAGTGGACAGAGAGAGAGAAAGGTCTTCCTTCCGTTGGTTCACCCTCCAATGGCCGCTGCGGCCGGCACACCGTGCTGATCCGATGGCAGGAGCCAGGTACTTCTCCTGGTCTCCCATGGGGTGCAGGGCCCAAGCACTTGGGCCATCCTCCACTGCACTCCCTGACCACAGCAGAGAGCTGGCCTGGAAGAGGGGCAACTGGGACAGAATCCGGCGCCCCGACCGGGACTAGAACCCGGTGTGCCAGTGCCGCAGGCAGAGGATGAGCCTAGTGAGTGGCGGCGCTGGCCTCAAATAAATTTTTTTAAAAGTCTTTATCCACCAGTTCACTCTTTAAATGGCCGCAGTGGTCAGAGCTGGGCTGATCAGGAGCCAGAAGTTTTTTCCGGGTCTCCCACGTGGGTGCAGGGCCCAAGCACTGGGCCATCCTCCACTGCCTTCCCAGGCCACAGCAGAGAGCTGGATCGGAAGAGGAGCAGCCGGGACCAGGGTTGCGCCCATATGGGATGCCGGCACTGCAGGCAGATGCTTGGCCCGCTGCACCATGGCACCAGCCCGACATCAACTTTTTTGTGTATTTATTTTCGTCTACTTGAAGGGGAGACCAAGTGATGCAGAGAGGTTTTGTGACTTTGTTTTTTGAATTGTTTGAAAGAGTTTCAGAGAGGGAGGCATAGGAGAGATTGATCCACCTCCCATCCACTGGTCCACTCCCCACATGGCTGCAACGGGCTGAGAGTGGCCTGGCCAAGGCCAGGGGTGTCATCTAAGTCTCCCACCTGGGTGCAGGGGCCCCAGTGCGTTAGCAGGGACTGGGTGGGAAGCGGCCACCAGGTGGACACCGGCGCTGCAGGCAGCGGCCCCACCCACTGCACCGGCCACAGCAGCACTGTTCTGTAGCGTTGCGTTGAAGGCTCTAGTTCTTCCTGGCGATTTTGGCTTTGCTGTTGACACATGTCCTGCTGGCCGAGTGGGCAGCAGGTGTTCCCTGGGCACTGGCATGAGCCAGCTTCTCCCAAGTCCAGCACTAATGGTGTGTGGTGTTATGTCTTGTTTTTTCCCCCAGAGAGAGCGACAAGCCCAACGAGAAGATGCCCTTGAGCTCACGGAAAAGCTGGACCAAGACTGGAAAGAGATCCAGACTCTCCTGTCGCACAGAAAGCCCAAGGCAGAGGCCAGAGAGAGAAAGGAGACGCCCAAGGTGGGGTGGGCCCCTGACAGACCCTGAACTTGGGTCTGTTGGGTTTCTGGGGACAGGGAGCTTGGGGTCCCTCCTGGTACCCCACATCCTGGGACACATTTTCCATTGGCCGCACATGTCGGGGCGGCCTGCCTTCAGACCCAGGTGAAGGGGTTCCTCAGAAAGGCGGCCTGTGATTGGAGACCGCTGGGGGGTTGAAGCTTCCTTGTACACCTGTGTGAGGCGTTAATTCCTTTTCCTCTAAACAGTGTTTGTTTCCTGCTGGGTCTCTTTTTCATCTAAATTTGTTGGAAATGCTGTATTTGAGTAGCTGGGTTTAGGGAAGCTCCGGGTTTGATCAGTGTCTGCCGTCTTTGTGAGGCACGCACGCCTTCTGCTACTTCACGGAGCTCCCGAGAGCCGGGCTCCGTGCCTCTGTGAGCAGCGCTCGCTTCTGTTAGCCTGAGGAAATCCGGGAAGAGTTTGCAGGAGCAGAGACGTGGCCGAGGGGTCACTGAGTTCTGCAGCCCGAGACTAGTGAGAGCAGCTTTGTTTCCAGAAGAAAAGGCTTAGGTCCGGTGCGGCCTCTTCCCTGACGGTCGGCAGCGTCGCTGGACTGTGCCCGGGCTGGCTGCCTCTGCCGATCTTGGATCTTGTTAGTGAATGTGTTCATGCAGACCCATGAGGACCTCCTTTGTTCCACCGTAGCCCGATGCCTATGACATGGTGGTGCGTGAGCTCGGCTTTGAAATGAAGGCGCAGCCCTCCAACAGGATGAAAACGGAAGAGGAGCTGGCAAGGGAGGAGCAGGAGCGGCTCCGGAAGCTGGAGGTGGGTGCAGGCGGCCTGGCACGCCGGGGCACCGGGACACCTCGTCCCGCCCCTGGAACGGCGTTGCCTCCTTTGTTTGTTGCCTTTTCTGCTTTATTTTGAAAGATAGGCTGACGACCCACGTGGCGTTTCCCAGGCTTTGTATTTACTTTGCCGTAAGTATCTATTTTTGCAAAAACATGAAACAGAATGTAGATAATATCTAACTGCATCAAATAAAAACTGGACTTTTTTTTTTTTTTAATGTAATTCAGCCTCTCCAAAACAGGTACTTAACAACACTAGGGGCTTTGCCTTCTAAACTTTTTTCTGTGTTTAAAATTTCATAGCATCTAAATAAAAATACTATTTTTATTCTATTATACTATTCTATAGCTGGCCTTTTAAGATTGATTGATTTTGAAAGAGGTAGAGAGCTTCCCTCCACTGGTTCCCTTCCCAGATGACTGCAGAGGCCGACCAGGCTGCACCCGGTGAAAGCTGGAGTCAGGAGCTCTGGGTCTCCCTCGCGGTGCAGGGGCCCAGGCACGCGGGCCGTCCTCCGCTGCTTTCCCGGGGTCTCCCTCGCGGGTGCAGGGGCCCAAGCATGCGGGCCGTCCTCCGCTGCTTTCCCGGGGTCTCCCTCGCGGGTGCAGGGGCCCAGGCACGCAGGCTGTCCTCCGCTGCTTTCCCAGGCCATTAGCAGGGAGCTGGATGGGAAGTGGAGCAGCTGGGACACAAACCAGCGCCCATGTGGAATGCTGGTGCTGCAGGCTGCGGTTTAGCCCACTGCGCCACAGCACTGGCCCTCGTATAGCCAGCCTTTGTAACCTAACCCCGTGCTGGACCTCCTCACGTGGGCTGTGTGTTCAGGTAGTGAGAGAGTTGAGCTGTGTGTTCAGGGGCTCCTTGCCCCTCACTTCTCATGCAGCAGTGGTGAGTTCCAGTCAGGGCTGGATGCAGGGACCTGGGTGACAGCCTTCCCTGCCTTGGACTGCAAAGTATTTCTCCCACAAGGCTCAGTAACTCATGAATGAGGAAGTCTTCCTCAGTTTGCAGGCAGCAGGTGCACGGGTGGGCCCTGCCCCGCTGTCCAGGAGCCGGGCTGGCGCCCCCTGGTGGTGGGCTTGTGAGCACTCGTGACCCGTCTCTGCTCAGGCTGACAGACTTCGAAGAATGCGCGGAAGGGACGAGGGTGACAGCAGGAAGGAACCGCAGCATGCGTCTGCAGATGACTTAGACGACGGCTTCGTGCTGGACGTGGATGATAGGCGATTGCTTTCTTACAGGGTAAGTTTCCGCTTCTCTTTTTTTCATACTCATTTCAAACGCGTTTTCTGGTGTTTATGTACGGGGCTTAGCACAGATGAGAATTTTGAGTGGTTTCCTTAAAGCTTCTGTGTTTTCTACTTATTTGAAACACAGAAACAGATGTCCTGTCCAGTGGTGCAGCGGCCAGCTGCACACGGCACGTCAGGACTGCGTCAGGCAGGAGTCGGGAACAGAATCAGTCCCCGTCCCCTGTGGTTGACAGCGACCGGCCTGGCAGGGAGCGCCTCAGCACGAGGCCGAATGAGAGCGGAGCTGGGACCTGAGCCCAGGCGCTCTAGTGTGCGATGCAGGCATCCCACATGGTGGGTTTTTTCCTTTACTTTTAAAGATTTATTTATTTATTTACTTATTTGAAAGGCAGAGAGAGAGGTGTCTTCCATCCGCTGATGGCTGCAGTGGCCAGAGCTGTGCTGATCCGAAGCCAGGAGCCAGGAGCTTCTTCAGGTCTCCCATGAGGGTGCAGGGGCCCAAGCACAGGGCCATCTCCCACTGCTTTCCCAGGCCACAGCAGGGAGCTGGATTGCAAGTGGAGCAGCCGGGACTCCAACCAGCATCCGTATGGGATGCCGGTACTGCACGCGGCAGCTTTACCTGCCATGCCCCAATGTCTTAACTACTAAGCCAGATCCTCATCTTATTTCTTTTAAGTTCTTTATCAGTTGTTTAGAGTTCATCAGACATTAAAAGGTCAGAGGGTAGACTCACAAAACACGCCCCCCCTCCCCCGTACAGAAACGGCATCAACTGAACTACTTGCTGTTTCTGTGACCTGCCTTTTTTTTTTTTTTTTTTTGACAGGCAGAGTGGACAGTGAGAGAGAGAGACAGAGAGAAAGGTCTTCCTTTTTTTGCCGTTGGTTCACCCTCCAATGGCCCGCCACAGCCGGCGCACTGCGGCCGGCGCACTGCGCTGATCCGATGGCAGGAGCCAGGTGCTTCTCCTGGTCTCCCATGGGGTGCAGGGCCCAAGCACTTGGGCCATCCTCCACTGCACTCCCGGGCCACAGCAGAGAGCTGGCCTGGAAGAGGGGCAACCGGGACAGAATCCGGCGCCCCGACCAGGACCAGAACCTGGTGTGCCGGCACCGCAAGGCGGAGGATTAGCCTAGTGAGCCGCGGCGCCGGCGTGTGACCTGCTTTTTAATTGTGCAGTTTATACCTGCATGATTATCTGCATAGCCGCAGCAGAGTGCCGAGGGAGCTGACTTGGGGGTAGAGTTCTGAATAGCTTTGAGTAGAGCAATTGAGTTTCTAGGGCTGGTGAAGTTTTTAGATAACAAACTTTGTAAGGATGGTAGTTGTCTCCTTTTAGAGTGTGTCAGTCAGGGTTTGGGGCAGAGAAACAGGTGTTTCCAGAGAAAAGAGGCCAAGACAGGAACTTGAGGTGCAGACAAAAATCCAAGGTCGTCTGGGTAGCAGAAGGGGTCGCCCCATGGTGCAGCTGAAAAGCCAAAGAGCCACTGCCCTCCCCACTGCCCGCAGGCCCCCAGAGTGGCCGCTGACCGCTGTCCTCACCTTGGATGCACGCTGTTCCCTGGCAAAGCCTTGCCCTCATCCGGGCGTCTGAGAGCCTTTAGCTCCAGTGGCCAAGGGTGGCTTTGGTGGGGGTGGACAGGGGAGCTGAGGGCCATGGACAGAGTGCCCGCATCTGTGTGCGCCTTGCAGAGGGCACAGAGCGCAGGGTGGTGTGTGTAGGGTGTGGTTCCCGCCGGGTCCTGACACCCTGTGGTCTCCTGGGTCTCTTCCTAGGATGGGAAGATGAACGTCGAGGACGATGTGCGGGAAGAGCAGAGTCAGGAAGGCAGCGGCACTGAGAGCGAGGAGGAGGGGGCGGACTCCGAGGAGAGTGACGGCCCAGACAGCCACTCAGACCTGGAGTCCAACACAGGGAGCGAGGGAGAGGAGAGGCCAGGGGGCCAGCAGCGTCAGACTCCTCAGAGAAGGGTGACCAGTGGTGAGCCCGGAGCTGCAGGAGCTGAGCTGCCCTACACGTTTGCAGGTAGGTGACCCGTGTGCGGGCGCGCTCCCTGACGCGTGTGCGGGCGCGCTCCCTGACGCGTGTGCGGGCGAGCTCCCTGACGCGTGTGCGGGCGAGCTCCCTGACCGTGTGCGGGCGAGCTCCGTGACGCGTGTGCGGGCGAGCTCCCTGACCGTGTGCGGGCGAGCTCCCTGACCGTGTGCGGGCGAGCTCCCTGACGCGTGTGCGGGCGAGCTCCCTGACCGTGTGCGGGCGAGCTCCCTGACCGTGTGCGGGCGAGCTCCCTGACCATGTGCGGGCGAGCTCCCTGACCATGTGCGGGCGAGCTCCCTGACCCGTGTGCGGGCGAGCTCCCTGACCGTGTGCGGGCGAGCTCCCTGACCGTGTGCGTGCGAGCTCCGTGACCCGTGTGCGGGCGAGCTCCCTGACGCGTGTGCGGGCGAGCTCCCTGACGCGTGTGCGGGCGAGCTCCGTGACCCGTGTGCGGGCGAGCTCCCTGACACGTGTGCGGGCGAGCTCCGTGACCCGTGTGCGGGGGAGCTCCCTGACGCGTGTGCGGGCGAGCTCCGTGACCAGGCCGTGGGCTTGCAGGGAGAGGGAGGGACACAGTCCTGTTCTTGATGTCAGCCACGCACGTCCTGGCACCAGTGCTCCCTGGGGTGCTGTGGGCCGTACCCAGCTGAGGCAGGTACTCTGGCGGTCAGCATGGCGTCCACAGATGGGCTTCCCTGAGATGTCCTGTGACGGGGGAGAAGTCGGTTCCTTCACGCTGTGTTTAGTCTCTCTCTCTCTCTCAGCGGAAGTGTCACTCTTGTCTTAAATGTTGAGTGTGGAGTGCTTGTGTGTGTGATTAGATTTCCATTTATTTGAGCAGGGTGAGGGGGAACAGGCAGGCAGACCGCAGTCCTGTCTGCTGGCTTACTCCCCAGCGCTGGGCTGGGCTGGGCCGGGCCGGGCCGGGCCTCAGTCCACATTGCGCTCGAGGTGGCAGGGAGCCAGTGACTTGGTTTCCGTCACATGGCAGTCTACCAGGATCTGCGTGAGCAGACAGCTGGAATCGGGAGCAGGGGCCTGGAAGCGGACGTGGGACGTGGTTTCCTGACCGTTGGTCTGAATGCCTGCTCCCTCTTGTGTTGTTGATAGCTCCTGAATCCTACGAGGCCCTGAGGTCCTTGCTGTCGGGAAGGCCCATGGAAGAGCAGTCTCTGGTGGTGGAGAGAATTCAGAAATGCAACCATCCAAGTCTCGCAGAGGGCAACAAAGCCAAGCTAGAGGTATGCTGCAGAGGGCCGAGTGGGCGTGTCGCACGGCCCTGCTCTGGGACTGGGGCTGCTCCACGTGGTGCAGTGACGTGTGCTTCGGGCCCTGACCCTGGGCACCAGCATCACCCTTGACGAGTGTGACAACAGCTGGGGAGCACTCGGTCTGGGGCAGGCAGGGGGGACACCCCTACTCTTACCCGCCCCGCCTGGTCATTCAGATTCACAGGCGAGGAAGCCAGGGCTCGCGTAGCCGTGCAGTGGCAAGGGTGAGGCGGAGACGACGGGATGGGTGACATTCTCGCAGGCCGCCCAAGCATTGACGATGTCACCGCTGAGCTTGCAAGAATCGGGCCCCTCCATCAATCATGAAGCTGCCAGACTCCAGCTGCCTCCTTAGGCAGGGCCGAGCGGCCGTCTTGAGCCCCTCCAGCCTTTGCTTCGTCAGGATAGCAGACTCAGCTCAGGGAAGAGAGCAGAGGCGCTAAGGCACACGGCGTGTTAGAGCACGTCGCCCGGCTGCGCTGCGCTAGCAGAGACCCACCCTGAACGTGGACACGGCTCTGCTGTCGGGACGGGTGCCACCTCCGGGCCTGCCCGTGGATCTGCGTAAATGCTCGTCCCTGCTGGCCTGTGTCCTGACCTCGGACCCAAGGACTGGGAGCGCTCCCACTGCCCCCACCCCCACCAGGCTGGCAGAGCGGCGACTACGCACACGCCTCCTCGGGCTCGGCAGGGCCCAGCAGTGGCTCTGCTGGCATTCGGGGCTGCTCCTGTCTGTGGCCCTGAGCGACCCCACGCGCCCGGTTTTCACCAGAGAGAGGCGATGCGGAAGCTGTTCACCTGTGGGTTTGTTCTTGGTGCCCAGTGGTGAGCTCTCTTTTCCCATTCGTGTTCCTGCAGAAGCTGTTTGGCTTCCTTTTGGAATACGTGGGAGATTTGGCAACAAGCGACCCGCCAGACCTCAGAGTAATCGATAAGTTGGTTGTGTAAGTACCAGTCTGGGGTGTGGAGCCGAGTGCAATGACTGATGTTTCTCCTGTTTAGAGGCGCTGACTTTTCCGTTCAGGCGGGCGGGCGGGTGGGTGGGTGGCGCAGCAGAGCGTGTGGACAGGCCTCAGAGCCCCACGTGGGATGCGCCGTGGACTTCGTTTCCTGTCGTGCTGTCAGTCACTCGACAGATGGGATTTTTTAGATATTTTAATTTTATTTCAAGGCCAGGGAGCGTCCATTCACTGGTCCACTCTCCCAGTGCCCCAAAGCAGCCAGGACTGGGCAGGCTGGAACCCCGTCCCAGTGCCCACTGCAGATGGCAGGGAGCAGCTGCAGCACAGCCATGACTCGGCCCGGCGCTCCAGTGGGCGGCGCCCCGGGGGTCCCGCCGTGCCGGGCGCCCTGGGACTGGAGATAGGTTCCTGGTCTGCGGTGGCCAGTTGTTGCTTCCTCATCAGTACACATGTGCTTCATTCTCGGCCTGGGTGGGCAAGAAGCATGGGAAGCGTGCAGAGGAGCCCCCGCTGCTGCAGGAGCCCCTGCAGGTCTGAGCCTGGGGGTCCAGACGCTCTGAACACCCTGCTAGGGGCTCCTCCGTGTGCTGCAGGCCGGCCGCCGGGCGGCTCTGGCTCCGGCCGCACTCGACAGAAGGCTGGACTCCCCTGGTGGCTGGAGGAACGCCAGCAGGGCCAAGTTCTGGGCAGTGAGCTGTGCTGGCACCTAGGGGCCCCCCTGGGGCAGCTTCCGGCCCTGGGCTGTGTGACCCGGGCGGGCTCTCCCGACAGCTTGTGTTTGTACACAGAGATGCTCGTGGTGGGCTACTCAGAAGTTAGGAACCAGCAAGCCGAGTGTAGGGTTTTATAAGCACTGTTGGAAAAACATTCTGGGTCCCACCAGGGAGGCCACAGAGAGCACTCCGTGCATGGCAAAGAAGAGGTCAGTGGGGCCAGCCAGCTTCCACTCGCTTCCCTGACCCCCGATCCTGACGCTCAGGTGGGGTTGGCTGTGTGTGACGAGCTTGGGTGGGCCACAGTATGCGTGGCCTTCCCTCCTGGGCGCCCCTTGTCTGGTCTCAGGGGAGTGTGTGGCTTTGTTTGATCTGGGATGTTAACTCCCGAGGGTAGCTTGAGTCCTTGGGGTCGGGGTCACCCCTGAATGAGTTGTCTGCAGGAAGAGGAGCTGGGGCCCGGTGAAGCCCGTATCAGGCAGCATGGCGGCTCTCTCCGACAGGAAGGCGGTGTCAGGGTTTTCTCTCTGTTATCCATCACTCTGCTGCTGTGTCTCCGCTGAACAGGCAGCTGTACAATCTCTGCCAGATGTTTCCCGAAGCCGCGAGCAGCGCCGTGCAGTTTGTCCTGCGGGATGCCATGCATGAGCTGCAAGAGAGGCTTGAGACCAGAGGCCGGGCGGCGTTTCCGGGGCTGGACGTGGTGAGCAGGGGCACATCCAGTCCAGGGCTGGACGTGGTGGGCGGGGGCACATCCAGTCCAGGGCTGGACGTGGTGGGCGGGGGCACATCCAGTCCAGGGCTGGACGTGGTGAGCGGGGGCACGTTGAGTCCAGGCTGGACGTGGTGGGCAGGGGCACATCCAGTCCAGGGCTGGACGTGGTGGGCGGGGGCACATTCATCCAGTCCAGGGCTGGACGTGGTGGGCAGGGGCACGTTGAGTCCAGGGCTGGACGTGGTGGGCAGGGGCACATCCAGTCCAGGGCTGGACGTGGTGGGCGGGGGCACATTCATCCAGTCCAGGGCTGGACGTGGTGGGCAGGGGCACGTTGAGTCCAGGCTGGACGTGGTGGGCAGGGGCACGTTGAGTCCAGGCTGGACGTGGTGGGCAGGGGCACGTTGAGTCCAGGGCTGGACGTGGTGGGCAGGGGCACGTTGAGTCCAGGGCTGGACGTGGTGGGCAGGGGCACGTTCAGTCCAAGCACTGCCTTACTCACCGAAGAGCAGGTTCCGAACGCCTGTCATCGCTGGAAGTGGGGGTACAGACGGAGACTGGCGAGGAGGCACGGTCGCCCCTGTAGGAGGACTCCTGTGACCCTCTGTGACCGGGCCGGCTCGGGTCTTGCCGCAGAGACGTTTTCAGGAAACAGTGTGTTTTCCCAAGGACCCAGGGCTGTGGGTGGTTTCACTTGGTCCCCAGTTTGTGTTCATTCATTGAGAGGCGTGTTAGCTGTTCTGTGAGCTTCCTGCACGCTTCCAGTTTCTGGAGAGGGTTTGTGTTAATGGTTTCCGTAGACTCCCTCTAAAGTCCTGAGCTGGCGTACACCAAGGCAGCTGCTTCTGTCTCTCTTCAAATTAGGCCTAGCTAGCTTGCTGCGGGACAGCAGGTTACAAAGACAAGTTGATGAAAGAGGGGCTGGCACCGTGGCCTGGTGGGTAGAGCCGCTACCAGCATCCCGTGTGGAGAAACAATCTTCACCCGCTGGTTCACTCCTCAGACGGCCACACGCGACAGGGCTGGGCCAGGCCAGAGCCAGGAGCCAGGAGCTGCGTCCAGGTCTCGTGTGGGTGCTGGGTTGGAAGTGGAGCAGCAAGGAGTCAGGGGCTGACGTGGAATGCCGGCACTGCAGGCAGTGGCTTAACCGCTCACAGCAACGCCAGTCCCAGCAGGACATTTTTTTTTTTTTCCAAAGATTTATTTTATTTGTTTGAAAGACAGAGTTGCAGAGAAAGCTAGAGACAGAGAGAGTCTTCCATTTGCTGGTTCACTTCCTAGATGGCCACAGCGGCCGGAGCTGTGCCGATCCGAAGCCAGGAGCCAGGAGCTTCTTCTGGGTCTCCCACAGGCAGTGCAGGGGCCCAAGCACTCGGGCCATCTTCCACTGCTTTCCCAGGCCACAGCAAAGAGCTGGGTCAGAAGTGGAGCAGCCGGGACTAGAACCGGTGCCCGTATGGGATGCTGGCGCTGCAGGCCAGGGCTGTGCCACAGCGCCGGCCCCAACCAGCAGGACTTCGACGTGTAATACCAGGCTGCCGCTCGAGCAGGCGTCCTCACGTGGCTGCTGTCACCTCCTCTGTACCTCACTTCAGTGCTGTGCTGTTCCCCGGGGCGCACGTGTCTGTTGCTGCCAGGGTGGAGAGCAGTGAACGCGGTTGGGGTGGGCTGAGGCCTGCTTCCTGGGGACCCTTACCCAGGGCACAGTTCAGGGGCTGGGTGAAGGCCTGGCCGGCCAGGAGGGAGACAGTGGGGCGACCAGTGTGTGTCTGGTCACAGTGACGGGATTCTGGGGGCTCGCAGGATCTGTTGGTGCCTCTGATCTGAAGGTTCCGAGAGCCTGCGGACCCCAGGTGCTGGGAGGGTCTGGCTGTTCAGTCTGTCCAGCAGCTGCGTGGGGCCTCCTGTGAGAGCAGCCTGTGGCCATGCCAGAGGGTGTTACTTCTGACCCTCACCTCGGGCCAGGACAGGAGCCTGGGAAATCAGACAAGGTAGCTGGGTGTCAGGAGTGGGCGCAGTTCCCGAGACAACATGCTTGTCCTTAGATGTGGTTTTATTTTATTTTTTAAAGATTTATTTGTTTATTTAAAAGGCAGAATTGCAGAAAGAAAGGGAGGGAGAGCCCTTTCATCGGCTGGTTCACTCCCCCAGATGACTGCAACAGCCGGGGCTGGGCCGGGCCTAAGTCAGCGGCTCCTCGAGTGGCACTGATCCCGTCCGAGCTCGGCCGTGGACATCCTTGGCAGTTGAGAAAGGCCCCGTCTGACAGGGCTGCCAGGTGCTCTAGGGTGTGGCAGGACCAGAGTGGAGATGACTAGATCTTAGTTCTCGGTGAGCAGTTTGACTGTTTTGCTGAAACAGTTTGTGTGATGTTTCCGGGTAAATATTTTTTCTAGCATCTAAAAAATAGTGTGTTTTGGGGACGGCACCGTGGTACAATAGGTTAATCCTCTGCCTGTGATGCTGGCATCCCATATGGGCGCCGGTTCTAGTCCCGGCTGCTCCTCTTCCCATCCAGCTCTCTGCTGTGGCCTGGGAAAGCAGTGGAGGATGGCCCAAGTGCTTGGGCCCTGCACCCGCATGGGAGACCAGGAAGAAGCTCCTGGCTCCTGACTTCGGATCAGCACAGCTCCAGCTGTTGCAGCCATCTGGGGAGTGAACCAGCGGATGGAAGACCTCTCTCTCTGTCTCTCCCTCTCACTGTCTATAACTCTACCTCTCAAATAAATAAATAAAAGATTTTTAAAAAATAGTGTGTTTTGAGTGCTCAGAGCAGCAGCAGGCCAGGGACGTGTGACGTTTTTCCTCACATGGGACTGCAGGGTGTGAGCTTAGCACTCCCCCGTGCCCAGTGGGCAGCTGGCCCTGGTGCCTGGAGGCGAGGCTCTGCTGTTCTGCGGGGCTGCACGCCTGCTGGTTTAATCTGTTGAGGAGCGTTGTGTCCGTCACAGGCGACTCGGGGCCAGGAGTGAAAAGGGTTGTGCTTCCTCACATGGGAAGGTGAGGCCTAACCCGCGAGCAGACGCTGCTGTGAGCGCTGGGACACCCATGAGGTCGGAGCCAGTGTGGAGAAGACTGACGTGTGGCAGTCTTCCAGCAGGCTTGTAGGTGCAGATGCAGCACAGGCTCGGAGCAGGACTGACGGTGCTGGGTGCCCTCCGCAGGCCGTGACTGGGCCCCGTTCAGGGCAGCACAGCACCCTGGTGTGTGGGGGGCGGGGGGTCTGGGGCCACAGGGGACGTGTGGGTCTGTGGGTGCCACCGTTTCACTAGTAATTCCATAATCTGTTTGGCTTAAAGATTTATTTTACTAACCTGAAAGAGTTACAGAGGAAGGCAGGGAGGAGGTGGAGAAAAAAGTCTTCCACCCTCTGATTCAGTCCCCAGGTGGCCACAGTGGCTGCGGCTGGACCCGGCTGAAGCCAGAAGTTTGACCCAGGTCTCCTGCTTGGGTGCTGGGGCCCAAGGACTTGAGCCATGTTCCAGTGTTTTCCCAGGCATGCTATTAGGGAGCCAGACCGGAAGTAGAGCAGCGGGACTTGAACCTGTGTCCCTATGGGATGGCATTGCTGCAGGCAGCAGCTTAACCCATTAAGCCCCAGTGCCGGCCCCCTAGAGCTAGCAGAGAGCTCTAGTGGTTCATGCTCCAGCAGTCAGAGCCGGCCCGGGCCGAGCTCGGAAGCGAGGCATGGACCAGGCTCTGGTGTGGGGCGCAGGGGCTAACCGGCCGCTGAGCCGGCTGTTTCGCTTGCCGTCCTTAACCGGTGTGCTTTCTTCCCAGCTCGTCTACTTGAAGATTGCTGGGCTGCTGTTTCCGACCTCTGACTTCTGGCACCCCGTGGTGACGCCCGCCCTGGTGTGCATGAGCCAGCTGCTCACCAAGGTGAGTGCCTCAGCCCTGCACGTGGCGGGGCTGGGTGAGGGCTCGCAGGCCGGCCGCAGAGGTCGGGCACGAAGGAGGCTGGGGGCTCCAGGAGCAGCGAGGCCGAGTGGCCAGGTGGCTGTGCGGGGGTGCTCCCCACCCCTGCTTGCCTGCTGCTGTGAGGGGCAGGCTCCCCTCTGGCAGGGAGGCTTGTGGGAGGCCTGGCGGAGTTGTGCGTGTCTTCCTGAGGGACCGTCCCGTCCTGCAGTGCCCTGTGCTGTGCCTCCGCGATGTGGTGAAGGGCCTGTTCGTGTGCAGCCTGTTCCTGGACTACGTGTCTCTGTCTCGGAGGTTCATCCCGGAGCTCCTCTGCTTCCTCCTGGGAATTCTCTACACGGCGACTCCAAACAGGCCAAGCCGAGGTGAGCCGATCGGAGGAGCTTCGTTCTAAAGTAACCCACACTCATCGCAGGGACTGGGAGGCCCTGAAGTCCTGCCGTCCGGAGGGTGGCGGTTCCCTGCTGTGTCCATACACTGCTGGGAGCCTGGAGCCCACTCCCAAGACTTGGACACAAAAATAGGTAAAATGTGTCCGTTCTTCAAGAGTCACTTACCTGAGACAGTTACACGGAGAGAGGGAGGCCTTCTGCCTGCCACTTCCCCAGGTGGCCACAACAGCTGGAGCTGAGCCCATCAGAGCCAGGAGCGTCCTCCAGGTCTCCCACGGGGGTGCAGGGCCCAAGCACTTGGCCATGTTCCTCTGCTTTCCCAGGCCACAGCAGGGAGCTGGATTGGACGTGGAGGAGCCGGGATCTGAACCTGCGGCCACGTGGGCTGCTGGCGCCACAGGCGGATGCTTAAGCTAGCACACCGCACGCCAGCCCCATCAGTGTCTTTGTATTGCTATGTTGAAGTGATATGATGTTCTGGGTAAAACAAAATACATGGGTCCCTGTCGCTCCCCCTCTTCATGGAGGAACGACACTGAACCCTGCCTAGGCTTCCTATCCGAGTCACGGCACCATTATGTCGCTCCCCCTCTTTGTGGAGGAACGACACTGAACCCTGCCTAGGCTTCCTATCCGAGTCACGGCACCATTATGTCGCTCCCCGTCTTCACGGAGGAACGACACAGGACCCTGCACTGTTCTTTCGTCTGCTCGGCCCTCCCCGGGTTTGCTGCTGGTTCTTCCCGGGTTGGCTACCGACCCTTCCACCTCCGTGGAAGGGCGGTTCCCCCTGCCACTTTCCCACTTCCGCGGGGGAGCAGCACACCGCCGGCCGGCTCTCTCGGGGGCTGCACAGGTGTTCCTTCAGATAGATGTTCCCGGTGCATGTTGTCTCTCTCCTCCTTTATAGTCCTCTTCCACCAATCCCAACTCGGCTGCCCACACGCCGAGTACGCTGCTCTCCTCCAATCAGGAGCAAGTCCTACAGTTTATAGGCTGAACTGGAGGCAGCTGTGTGGAAGCTGTTTCCTCCTCTCCCAGCGCCATATTGTGGGAGAGCAGATGCATAGAATAAGTCTTAATTCGAGTAACAGTCTAGTCCGAGTTGCTCCCCACAGGTCCCCTTTTCCGTTGCCTTTTGTAATGTGACAAGTTCGGGGTCGGTCCCAGCCCCGCGGACAGCACCGCCGTGGTGTCTGGCTCAGCTTTCCACGGGGCGTTTCGCCTTGGCTGATTTCCTCGGTTCCTGTCCTCACCTGTGCCTGTATCACTTGGGGCAGCTCCACGAGTGCTGAGGACCTCCTGGGTGGTCCTCACAGCGCGTGCCGCCCCCTGGGGCTGGGATGCTGCTTGGTGTCTGTCCTCAGCCCCCTCTGGCGTGGCCGGGCCAGGGTCGGGCCGCGGCCGGAGCGTGGTGCTGCTCCGCATTGCCGTGTCTGGAGGTTTGGAGGAGCTGGCCAGTTCCCCCAGCTGCGGCCTGTCCTTCGGCCTGTCCTTCGGCCTCCCTCCCTCCAGCTGCTGGGACCAGGCCCAGCTGCCCAGTGCGACCGACCGCGTCAGGGAGCCTGATGTGCGGAAGTGCTGGGCGCCTGGCCCGGTGGGCGGGCGCGCTGGTTCCTCTGTGGGGGTGCTGGCTCAGTGCCTGCACATGCGCTGGCCTCTGCGGGCGCCCACTCCCAGACGGGCCTGACCTCGGCAGCACGCTCGGGCCCTGGCTCTGCCTGCGTCCTCGTGTTCTCCCTGGTGCGTGTATTTCCACGCGGTTTATACTGCCTGCTGGCCGCACTGAGCCAGGGATGCTGGCCCGTCTCGGAGGCAGGTCCCCGTGCCAGACCTGCACTCGGCGCGTTGCTCCGTGCTGGTCGGCTCACGTTGCAACAGGCGTCCCCAGGGGACGTGGTGACAGGAACCCCTCCCATGTCTGTTAACAAGCGAGCTGGGTGAAGGGTCACGCGTGCCCGCTAACGCCCAGGTCTCTGCCCTGTCGCACTTGGAATTCAGGTTACACCCTGGTGCACCCTTTCAGAGCCCTCGGCAAGAACTCCGAATTGCTCTTGGTGTCTGACCAGGAGGACGTGGCCACGTGGCAGAGGGGGAGCCTCCCCCTGCATTGGGCGAGCGGGCTGAGAGCCCAGACTGCGGCCGAGGCCAACCACACCAGGTGCGTGCACACCCGGGCTCCCAGAACCCCAGGTGCCCCGCCGGAAGCGTCCTCACTTGAGCTGGTTTGCTAGGTTCAAGCTCCCCGGGGCAGGCTGGAGCAGTGGTCGGCGTTCCCAGGGGAGAGCCGGCTGGTGCCCTGGCGCGACCCCAGGCTGCCTCCCCCTCAGGGGAGCGTGCTGACCTGACGGGAGCTGCCGGCGCCGGGCACGACACTGGGTTCCTGGGGCTGGGGGGCTTCGCCGGCGAGCAGCCGTCTCCCGTCCGCCCTGCAGGCTGTCCTGCCTGGCTGTGTGCCTGGCCCTGCTGAAGCACGCCGTGCAGCTGTACCGCGCACTGCCCGCCTTCCACGCTGTCTCCAGGCCCCTCGCGGCCCTCCTCACGCAGCACCTGGCCGACTGCAGCCACCCCGGTGAGCTCCAGGTGAGCCTCCTGGTGCCGTGAGCGGGGGCGCGGCCGGGCCGTCCTGTCAGTGAGTGGGGGCTTTACGCCTTAGGCCACCATCGGCAAAATCGAACAGAAGTGGTGACAGTGGGTACCGTGAGCACTGCGGACGGGCCTGGAGGGCGTCTGGACCCCGTCCCACCTGCCCACGCCCTGCAGGAGCTGTGCGGGAGCCTGCTGTCCGACCTGGAGCCGTGTGCGCAGCTGTACCGCCCGCTGACCTGCGAGAGGACCAAGCCCGTGCCCCTGAAGCTGTTCACCCCCCGCCTGGTCAAAGTGTGAGTGTGGGCACAAGCTGGCCCGGCCTGGGCCGCAGTGGGGACAGGCGAGGGGACGGACGCGGCCCTGCCCTGCCTCAGGCCGGCTCTCCCTGCAGCCTGGAGTTCGGGAGGACGCAGGGCAGCAGCAGGGCGGAGCAGGAGCGGCGGCGGCTGATCCACAAGCACAGGCGCGAGTTCAAAGGCGCCGTGCGGGAGATCCGCAAGGACAACCAGTTCCTGGCCCGGATGCAGCTGTCGGAGACGCTGGAGCGGTGAGTGCGGCCGCCGGCCGGCCCGGGCCCGCGGAGACTCTGGGCGGTGGGCGGAGACTCTGGGTGGGGCCGGGGTCTGGGCCGGGGTGCGGAGTGGACAGCGCTGCTCTCCTGCAGGGACGCGGAGAGGAAGCGCAGAGTGAAGCAGCTGCTGGGCAGCCTGGCCGCGCAGGAGGGCGAGTGGAAGGCGCTGAAGAGGAAGAAGCTCCAGAGATAGCCCCGCCCCCGCCCCGCCCCGCCCGCGGGCGGACAATTACACCTTGTAGAACTGACCGCTTGTCACAGGATGTGTTGATTTATGGGCCACGCGCCACTGACCAGGAGGGCGGGCGCCCTGGGGTGCGCTGGGCCTGGGAGTGGCTGTGGCCTTGGACGGAACCACAGCCTGAGTCCTGCGGGGACCCGAGCCGCCCTGGGGGAGGAGCTGGAATGAGAAGCCCCCCACCCAGGGGGTCACCGGATGTCCACGCACGGAGCCTCGGCCCCCAGGTGTCCACCAAGCGAGCACCAGCGAGCCGTGACCGCTGAGCCGGCCGGGCCTCCGCCCTTGGGCGGCCACCGGGAGATGGACTGACCATGGGGGGGCATCTCCGGTCCTCGGACCTGTGGGTCTGGACACTGGTGATGCGGCGGCCACGGCCGGAGCTCGGGTGGGCAGCTTGGCTCCGACACGAAGGGGCCGGGCCGCATGGGCAGGTGTGTGTGCTGCCCGGAGGACCGGGGGCTGTGAGGCTCCGGCCACGTGGCCGGGTTCCAGTGCGGACCCCAGGGGCGAGGCCGCCTGCAGGTGCAGGGCACGCGCCTCGCGCCCGCCAGGGGGCGCTCCCTCCCCCAGCGGCTACCCGCTGCCTGGCCAGGGACCCTTGCGCCACAATAACGGCCAACGAGCTGCGGCCGCCGCCTTCCCACCGGGCGGGGCCCGCGGGGGCGCGCGAGAGGCAGGCATGCGCGCCCCCGGGCGTGCCGGCGTCACTTCCGGGGCGCGGTCAGCATCGGCCCCGCCCTGAGGTCCCTTCCGCGTTCTTCCGGAGCGCCGGTCCGGTCCGGCGGTGGGGGTGGGGGTGCGTGTCGCGACCTCTCAGGGCACTGGTCCAGGGTTGCAGGGGTGAGGTGTCCGGACCGCGCGCCCCCGCCGCTCCTTTGCGTGGTGCCATTGCGGTGCGGGCCTGGCCGCGCGCCCTCCCTGACCCCTCGGCTCATTTGCTCCCGCGGCGGGACCCAGCGCCCCCAGCCAGGCCCGGGCCGGAGCGGCCGCCATGGGGTGGGGTGGGGACGAGGGCTGCACCCCGCGCCCGCCCATCCGTCCGCAGCCCGCGTCCACGCGCCGCGTGCTCGCCGTGGTGTTCGTCGGCCTGCTGCTGGACCTCCTGGCCTTCACGCTGCTGCTGCCCCTGCTGCCCCGGCTGCTGGAGAGCCACGGCCGTGCCCACGTGAGCGCCTGCGGGGCGGCCCCCGCGCCCACTGCCCTCTCCCCAGGACGCCGCCCCCGCTCCCGGCCCCCGCGCCCACTGCCCTCTCCCCAGGACCCCGGCTCCCGCGCCCACTGCCCTCTCCCCAGGACCCCGGCTCCCGCGCCCACTGCCCTCTCCCCAGGACGCCGCCCCCGCTCCCGGCCCCCGCGCCCACTGCCCTCTCCCCAGGGTCCCCTCCCCCCGCTCCCGGCCCCCGCGCCCACCGCCCTCTCCCCAGGACCCGCTGTACGGCGCGTGGCAGCGCGGGGTGGACTGGTTCGCCGCGGCCATCGGGATGCCGGCCGAGAAGCGGTACCACGGCGTCCTGTTCGGAGGTGAGGCCCCGTGTCCGGGGGGGACCGGCCTGGGCCCCGCGCACCGCAGCCCCTGACGGCGGCTCCGCCCGCAGGAGTGATCGGCTCGGCCTTCTCCGTCCTGCAGTTCCTCTCGGCGCCGCTGACCGGGGCCGCCTCGGACTGCCTGGGGAGGCGCCCACTGATGCTGCTGTCCCTGGTGCGTGCGGCGGGCGCGGGCGGCTCGCGGGGCAGCAGGGCAGGGGCTGAGGGCTGCCACTGCCCCACAGGCCGGCGTGGCCACCTCGTACGCGGTGTGGGCCAGCTCCCGGAGTTTCGCGGCCTTCCTGGCCTCCAGGGTGGTCGGCGGCGCGAGCAAGGGGAACGTGAGCCTCTCCACGGCCATCGTCGCTGACCTGGGCTCGCCTCAGGCCCGCAGCCAAGGCATGGTGAGTCCCGGGCGGGGGGCGGCCCGGGCGGGGACCCCTGCCCGGCTCAGGCGCCTGCCTCCCCCAGGCGGTCATCGGGGTGGCCTTTTCCCTGGCCTTCACGCTGGGCCCCCTGCTGGGCGCCTGCCTGCCCATGACGACGGCGCCCTGGCTCGGCCTGCTCTTGGCCCTGTCGGACCTGCTGTTCCTCTTCTGGTTCCTGCCGGAGACGCTGCCCCTGGAGAAGCGGGTAGGGCCAGGCACGGGCACGGACAGCCCGGGCTCGGAGGCTGGGGTCCACGGGCTGGGCGCGGGGGCGCTCCCGGCACCAGGGCAGCGGCGGGCGCCCAGTGCTGCTGGCCACGAGGCCCTGCAGGCCCTGCCCGCTCCCCACAGGCTCCGTCCATCGCACTGGGCTTCCGAGCCGCCGCCGACCTGCTCAGCCCGCTGGCCCTGCTGCGCTTCTCGGCCGTGGCCCGCGGCGGCGAGGAGCCCCGGCGGTCGGGCTCCGCTGCGGGCCTCGGCAGCCTGCGACGCCTGGGCCTGGTCTACTTCCTCTACCTCTTCCTGTTCTCGGGCCTCGAGTTCACACTGAGCTTCCTGGTGCACCAGCGCTTCCAGTTCAGCAGGTGGGGCCCCGACAGGGACGGCCCGGCCCCCCGGCCCCCGGCCCCCGCCCGAGCCGCAGCGGTCAGGGGCCTGCAGGGCTGCGGCGCTAACCCTCCCCTCCCAGCCTGCAGCAGGGCAAGATGTTTTTCTTCATCGGCCTCACCATGGCCGCCATCCAGGGCACCTACGCCCGGCGGATTGGCCCCGGCCGGGAAGTGGCCGCCGTGAAGCGGGTAGGGGCTCCCTCGGAGGGGCGGTGGGCCAGTGGCACCCCCAGCCCTGCAGGCGGGGTGGTCCTGAGGCCGGCCGTGCCCCCACAGGCCATCCTGCTGCTGCTGCCGGCCTTCCTCCTCGTCGGCTGGGGGCGCTCGCTGCCCGTGCTGGGCCTGGGGCTGCTGCTCTACTCCTTCGGTGAGCGGCCCTGTGGGGGCTGGGCTGGGCCGCCCCACCGCCTCGCCCTGGGCTGACCCCCGTGTCCGCTCTCCCACCAGCCGCGGCCGTCGTGGTGCCCTGCCTGTCCTCTGCGGTGGCCGGCTACGGTGAGAGCCCTACCCTCCGGGCAGGCTGTGCTGGGCGGTGGCGGCCGCTGACCGGGTATCTCCCTCAGGCTCACCAGCGCAGAAGGGCACAGTCATGGGCACGCTGCGTAGCCTGGGCGCCCTGGCCAGGGCAGTGGGACCCCTGGCGGCGGCCTCAGGTGAGGGCCTGGGGACAGCCCCCGGGGACATGGAGGCGGCCGGGCGGGGCTGTGGGCCAGGGCCAGTGGGCCAGGGCCAGCGCCGGCCTCTCTCTGCAGTGTACTGGCTGGCCGGGGCCCAGGTCTGCTTCTCCGTCTGCTCGGGCCTCTTCCTGCTGCCCGTCGCGCTCCTGTGCAAGCTGAGGCACCAGGCGCAGCCCAAGGCCGAGTAGCTGAGCCTGGACGGCACCCCCACCCGCCCGCGCACCCACCATGTCGCCCTGGGTGGCGCCCCACAGGGCGTCTGCCTGCTGCCCAGGCACCACCTGGAGCCTAGGTGCAGACCAGGAAACAGTAAAGAATTTATTTGTGAGTAAAACCTGTTACATGAGGGACGGACGCACAGGCCCCTGTCCGTCTACACAGCTGTATCTCGTGTTGTAATACAAAGAATTAACTACAAAAGTGGAAATTAGAAGTCATTGCATACGTGGGGTCCAAGGGAGAGGGTGAGCCCACGGGCAGGGACAGGGAGGTCTAACCCACGGTGGCAGCCAGCGCGGCCCTTGCCTGGGTGCTGAGCTGCGGGGACCCAGGCCCACCTGGCACCACCAGCCCCTTTCCAGAGGAGTGTTTGATGACAACTCAGCGGGCAGCCTGCAGGCTGCCAGACAAACTAAAGCAAACCCACCCCCACCCCCACCCCGGCCGGCCCTGCCTCAGAAAGGGAGGCCAACGCCCCCGCCACCGGGCCTGCAGGCTCCTGGCTCTGGGTGGGGGGAGGTGACTGGTCAGACCATGCATAGCGTTGTGCTGGGGACACGGAGGCCCAGCGTCCAGCCCCAGCCAAGACAGCCGTGGTGCCCAGGGCCTCGGGCGGGCATGCGAGTTCACGGGACCCAGGCTCTGGGCGGGAGTGGGGGCGGCGAGCAGCGAGCGCAGTGGAGGCCGGGAGTGACAGGCACTGAGACGCGGGCGCGGGAGGGGCGCGGGCTCAGGGCTCGCCCTTCTTCTTGCTCTTCTTCAGGAAGGAGGGCGTGCGGAACTTCTTCTTCTTCTTGGAGGGCGACTTGCCCGGGGACCCGTCACTGCCCGGCTCCCCGGGAGGCGCGTCCGCCGCCACGGGGGCTGGGGGGGCTGGGGCGGCCTCCGGCTTGGTCTCGGCAGGGAGCTGGGGGGGGCCTGGGGGGCCATGGGCTTCCTCCTCCTCCTCCTCTTCCTCCTCCAGCGCGGCCTCGGAGGGCTCGTCAGGGGACAGGTCGGGGAGCGCGGGCTTGAGGGGGGCGGCCTCACTGTCTCCTCCGGAAGCCAGCTCCTGGGGGGGGTCTGGGGGTGGGGCAGAGACCTTGACCTGGGGCCCTCGAGGCTACCTGGCACTGCACCACAGGCCAGACAGGGCCTTGCTTGCGGATCAGGGGTCCTCAGACTGCACCTACACTTGAGCCGCACCGCCAGCCCTGCCCTGAGGCCCGGCTGTCCGAGCCGACCCTGAGCACAACAGGACGCCCTGGAAGGAAGCACCTGGGCTACTGCCATGGGGGGAGCCCGGGCCTTCTGCGTTGACCAAGGACACCAGGGCTCCCTCTGCCAGGTGTGCCGCGTTTCTGGGGGACTGGTATGGGACCAGCACCACTCCTCTGCCCACCTCACGCAAGCAGTGCCAGCGTGAAACCAGGTCCGCACCGACCTGCACCTGAGCCAGGTGGCGGACAGCTCTGTCTGCCAGAGCCCCTCCCCAGGGCCGGGCGGCCCTCCCCCACGCGGAGCCCCTGCTGGAAGGCGGCGGGCTGGGCCTGAGGACGGGGCCTCTGCACGCCTCATCGACAACACAGACGGCACAGCGGCGGACGAGCGAAGCGTGGCGCGGTACTTACTAGGGCAGCAGGTACTCTCTAGCACGTCCGCCTCCTGCTCGCAAGGCAGCCACAGGGAGAGAAAAGCACAGGAGAGGTCTGTGCAGTCGCCACAGCCACGGGCACAGAGGAGGAGGCCGAGCCACGTCGTGGACACAGACGGGGGGGGAGCCACGGGACACACACGCGGCCACACCAGACAGGCGCGCTCCCACCGGGCGCTCAGCAGGGCGGGACGGTGTGCAAGCGACAGGTGACGCCGACAACCCATCCCTGGAGTCCGCCCAGGACGGCCAGCAGGGAGCCGTGGGCAGCCCGGCTGTGACCGAAGGGCCCATGGCAGTGTCCTCCCACGCGGGGCACCACGAGCCCCTCCCCACGGCACTCACCTTCTTCAAGCTTGACAGGGGTGCTGGGGGGGGTGTGGGGGGCTTCGTTCTGGTCCGGAGGGCGCTTTTCTTCCTGCTCTCTGGTCTCGTCCAGGTTCTCTGTGGACGCACACAGCGAGACGAGAGCAAAGTGGTGAGAGCCCTCGCCCTCTGTGGTGGCAGCCAAGGGGCCGTCACGGGGGGTGTTCGTCTGTTCCCATTCCTGCAGAACCTTCCAGAGCTGCCTGTGCGGCGCCCAGTGCCAGGCGAGCCCCTCCCTGGGTGCCTGGTCCCTGTGGCTGCAGAGCGAGGGCTGGGCGGCATCGGGCCCTGAGCCCTCACCCTCCCGGGACGTCGCCCGGGCATTAGAGCGGTGTGACTGCATAAGCAGGGCGTCCTCTCAGCAAGTCACACTTGGCGACCGTGTGCCTGCTGGGTTCTCCAAAGTAAATACGCTGGCGAGGCCTGCAGGCGTGCGGTGACCCGGCTGCGTCTCAGCAGCAACCCACCAACACCACCCCAGTCCTCAACCCTCCCTCCAGCCCCAGGCTGTGGGACAGTCTAGGAGCAGCAGGTCCTGCGGTCTTTAGAGACAGACAAGTCTGCCATCCACTGCTTTTCCGCCAGGCCTCCCGCGCTCTGCTGTGGCCCAGGGTGTGTCTCAAGCCCAGGCCCTGTGATGGGCAGTGGGCAGCCCAAGCAGTGTTGGGCAGACGTCCACCCTGGTCTATGTGAGCACTCTGGCGCGAGCCCCTCAAAGGTCACCAGGGCCTCTGACCCCCAACGGGCAGTGCTGAGCTGCCCGCCACCGTGCTGGGGCCGGCACACCCAAGTGACGCACGGCCTCAGGGGACATCCAGAGCCGGAGGGCCTGAAGGTGGCTTGGCATGGCCCAACATCCAAGGGCCTTGGGCAGGAAACACGTTCCCCACGCCCGCCTCGGCCGAGGGCCCGTCTGGGGGAGGGCAGGGGTCTCGGCGAAGCCTGGCAGAGCAGTCGGGGAAAAGCTGACAAAGCAAACCAGTCTCCCAGATCCTCCAGAGTCCAAAGGGCAACCTGCAGACGGGACGTGCAGGTGAGCAGGGCCAGCGCCCAGACTCCCACCCTCGGCCATCGGGGCCTGCACGCTGCACTGGGCGAGAACAAGGCCACCAGTAGTGATGTGGGCAAGTCACCCCGACGACCCAGGAGGGTCACAGACCCACAGGGAGGCCACCCAGGTGTGCCCCTCCCACCAGGTGCTCTGCCTTGGTCTTGCTGGGCACCTGGGGGTGGGGCTCAAGGAGCACGCCTGAGGCAGGCATGGAGGCGTCATCCTTGGCGAGTTCTGAGCGGGTTCGCATCCACTTGTTAACCCTCAAGTCTGAAACCACCTGCTCTGTGGGGTCAGGAAGTGAGGCTGCCCCCGCATGGCGTGGTTTGGGAGTGCCAGAGCCCTCCACTCGCTGACCCTCGGGCCTGGGGTCTGCAGCGAGTCTGTCCACCCGCCCCGAGCCACAGGCAGGGTGCTCACTGGCACAGAGGCCACGGGCCAGCACAGAGGGGAGTGGAGCCTGGCCCCAGTCCAGGTTCCGCCTCACACGGCCTTGTTCGCGGGGAGCGCTGGCCGCTGCTGCTGCTGCAGGCACAGGCCCACCTCGCGGGGCCCCTGTGGGGAGGAGCCATGCGCACACACAGCACACGCAACATGGCGCCCAGCAAAGGCGTGCGGGCATCCGGGGAGGCCGCCTCCCGTGAACTGGCAGCCAGGCCACACGCGGAAGCCACCAGCGCCTGGCTCTCCCCGGACCGTCCACAGCACAGTTCTGTGTTGTTCTCACTCCGTGGGGACAGATGCACCCTCACACCCCGCTCTGCCCCACGCCCAGCTCACAGCCTCAGGTGCCTCCAGGCTCAGCGAAGCCCCGCCTGTCATTGCGACATCCTGTCCAGCCAGGCCAGCCCCAGGCGCGGTGCTCTGCAAGTCCCGGCTGCCCCCCCCCCCGAGTTCCGGCTGCCCCCCCCCCCGCCTCCCGAGTCCCAGCCCCCCCGCGCCTCACCTCCCGAGTCCCGCCCCCCCTCCCCCCCCCCCCGCGCCTCACCTCCCGAGTCCCGGGCCCCCCCCCGCCTCACCTCCCGAGTCCCGCCCCCCCTCCCCCCCCCCCGCGCCTCACCTCCCGAGTCCCGCCCCCCTCCCCCCGCGCCTCACCTCCCGAGTCCCGCCCCCTCCCCCTGCGCCTCACCTCCCGAGTCCCGCCCCCCCTCCCCCCCGCGCCTCACCTCCCGAGTCCCGCCCCCCTCCCCCTGCGCCTCACCTCCCGAGTCCCGCCCCCCTCCCCCCGCGCCTCACCTCCCGAGTCCCGCCCCCCTCCCCCCCCCCGGCCTCACCTCCCGAGTCCCGGCCCCCCCCCGCCTCACCTCCCGAGTCCCGCCCCCCTCCCCCCCCCCGCGCCTCACCTCCCGAGTCCCGGCCGCCCCCCCTCACCTCCAGACCCCTTCTGCTTGCGCTCCACCTCGCGGCGGTACTCCTCCAGCTCTCGGTCCGTGAGCGCGTTGAAGGGGTTGGGGCCCGTGGTGCTCACGATCACGTGGGGCTGGTACTCCTTCTCAATGATGGCCTTGGAGGCCGTCACCAGCTCCCCCTGTGGACAAGAAGGTGGCCCGGTCTGCGGCAGCCTGGCCGGCGGGGCTCTCCCTGGTCCCAGGCAGGCTGCAGGCAGGGGTGGGAGCGTCCCAGGAGCAGGCAGGGGTGGGAGCGTCCAGGAGCAGGCAGACTCCTGAGGCTGTGCCACTGGGGGCAAGGCCTGGCTCACCTCAGCCTGCAGGGTACAGGACGCCACAGAACAAACATGGCTGGAGGAGGGACCCAGGGGACAGGCCCAGGACACCGCCCATGTCCAGGCAGAGGCCCCTCTGCTGGTGCTGGTTAGAAGTCAGTGCCCCACAGCCTGCACGCTCAGGGCACACGCAGTTCGCCCCTCGCTGGGCCCTGGAGCGCGTCCCGAGCACCAGTGTTTGTCTGAGGAACGCGGGAAACAGCAGAGCGAAGCACAAAGGCAGCTCGCAGGCCGTGCCCAAGGCGGGGCAGTCGGGCTGCGGCAGACACAGGCGGCACGGGTGGGCAGGGCGTGCCACGCAGGCTGGGAGGACGTCGCCTGCCTGGCCAGGGTGGGGGGCAGCAAAGTGGACCCCAAATGCTCTGGGGTTCCCTTCTGAGAAGGTAACCGGAAGTCACACCACGTACATTACTGAACGATGGTTAACA